AAAAAAAAAAAAAAAAAAAAAATGAGCTGGATGTGGTGGCTCACGCCTGTAATCCCAGCAATTTGGGAGGCTGAGGTGGAAGGATTGCTTGACGCCAGGAGTTCGAGACCAGACTGGGCAACACAGTGAGATTCCTGTCTACAAATAAATGTAAAAAATTAACTGGGTGTGGTGGCATGCACCTGCAGTCCCAGCTACTTGGGAGGCTGAGGTGGGAGGATCCCTTGAGCCTAGGAGATTGAGGCTGCAGTGAGCTGTGATTGGGTCTCTGCACTCCAGCTTGGGCCACAGAGCTAGAGCCTGTCTCTAAAAAAAATACGGGTGTGTGTGTGTGTGTGTGTGTGTGTGTGTGTGTGTGTGTGTCTGTGTGTAGTATGTATACATATGGATAACGTCACATGGGTATACAATGTACATACATGTATACGTTGTATAGACAGTATGTGTATATAGCTGTAATACCTACATATTATACATATATATTTTTTTCAGTGAGGGGGATTCCACCACACCCAACCGCCAGTCCAAGGCAGCATGGCCTAGTCATCTCATTCTAAGAAAAGTGGGAGCCAGGTGTGGTTGCTCATGCCTGTCAGCCCAGCACTTTGGGCGGCAGAGGTGAGAGGATTGCCTGAGTCCACAGGTTCGAGACCAGCAACTTGGCGAAAGTTCATCTCCACAACAAATCAAAAAATTAGCCAGGTGTGGTGGTGTGCGTCTGTCGTTCTAGCTACTTGGAAGGCTGAGGCGGAAGGATTGCCAAGCAGGTCGAGGCTGTGGGGGCGGCGAGTGTGCCACTACAATCCATCTGGGTGACAGAGTGAGACTCCGGCTCAAAAACAAAACAAAAACAAAATTAGCCAGGTGTGGTGGCAAGCGCCTATAGCTACTCAGGAGGCTGAGGTGGAAGGATCCCCTGAGCCCAGCAGGTCGACGCCGGGGTGGCCATGAGCGTGCCACTGCACTCTAGCCTGGGTGGCAGAGTGAGGCTCTGACTCAAAAAAAAAAAATAGGACCAGGTGGCTCCTTCCTGGGTTGCTGGGGCCCAGCTCTGTGGTCATCCAGGCCTCTGCCTCCTACAGAGCCTCCCGCCAGGGTTTCAGGGAACAAAGGAGGTCCCCTCCCCATCAGCCTGATCTTACGCCCTTTTCTTTTTTCCTTTGTTTGTTGCTCACTTCGTCCAACCCCCAATGTCACCTGTTAGTAATCATCTCCTCGCCTTTCTTAAGGGCTCTGGTTTTGGTTGTTGACACTCTCTGCTCGGGTCCTTGGCAGACATCTGTTTTGTGACCCTCACTCCACATTTGTTTTAAAGTGACCCGGCCTCTGGTCCCCACCTTCTCAACTGCCAGGGCCTCCTCTTTGTTTGGGGCCCTTGATTTTACTTTTTTTTTTTTTTTTTGAGTTGGAGTCTCACTTGGTCGCCCAGACTGGAGTGCAGCGGCCGCTCCCGGCCACCGCAGCCTCGACCCGCTGGGCTCCGGCGATCCTTCCGCCTCAGCCTTCTGAGTAGCCAGAATTACAGGCGTGTGCTACCACGCCCGGCTGATTGTTTTATTTATTGTAGAGATGAGGTCTCGCTGCTCAGGCGGGTCTCGAACCCGCGGACTCAGGCAATCCACCCACCTCAGCCTCCCAAAGGCGCGGGATGACAGGCTGAGCCACCGAGCCCAGTTTTTTTTTTTTTTTTTTTTTTGTTGGGGTCTCCC